TACACATACGGAATAAATGAATGACTCCATGGCTCCAAGTCATCACCCAATGAAGTAAAATTAAATCCAGGGAAAATTGATTTCAATTGTCCTCATAATTTCCTTTCCTGATGCCATCTTTTCAATCAAGACATGATCCTCTAGGTGATACAATTACTTCATTTTGGTTTCCCATCATGCCAGGGTTATCATTTCCATTTTTATTGGGATAAAAAGCACCATAGGTCCTAAAATTTCGAGGTTGTAAATTGATGGAATCCTTAATACAAATGAGCTTGAACAATCATTTTGTAGATGTCACAAACTAATTGAATTAGCTAAGATAATATACATAAGTGTACTTGAGAGTTCAAGTTGAAGCTAAACAGATCATATTTGTCCAAAATAATTGATACACATAAGATATACGAAAAAAGAACCACCGAAGCATATATATAATATCTTTTGGCACTATATAACACATTCATAGGTAGTAAGCCCTTACTTTTAAGTGTTCATGAGCTGCTTTGACAATTTGCCATCTTTTTTCTTCTTCCAATGATGGCCATTTTTTCGAAAATTTCATAGCTTATTATGGTCAAACATTATTGTCTTCTTTATTATTATTATTATTATTATTATTATTATTATTAAGAGAAGCCTGTTATGAATGAAGGGCTGATTTAAATGGCTAATGGTTGGGAGTACAATTCCCATAGCCAATATGCCTATGAAATTAAAGTTCGGTATGACACGAAAATTGCCTTAAAAGTTAGTTGGAGTAGGCTTCTTTTTTCTCGCATCCAAATTATTATCCTTATTGCAAAGTTGATTAGCACTGACTTCGAATAGGGATTTTCAAAGAATGTGCCTTACCTCCTGGCTGCATTATTGTGTCTAGCTCCTAATAGTTTGACTTGTTTGGTAAAATAGAGTTGGGTCACATACTCTCTCTTGCTATAATGATATGATGAATTGACTTATTTTTTGTTGTAGTATCCCTTTACTCCCTCAGTCCCATAAAGATAAGTTTAGTTTCTTTTTTCGTATGTTCTAAATTATAGGCTACTTTCGAATATTGTTTATTTAAACTATTATATTAAAACATGTAAGTAAAAATTTATATTTCCAACTATATTAATTATATTTTCTTGATTCGTGTAAAAATGGAAGCAAACTCATCTTTATGGGATGGATGGAGTAGCAAAGATTGGGAAATGTTACCAAAATAATTTGCACCCAAGTTTACTGTATTAAATAATATCATAAATTTAATTCTTTTTCCTTGATATCTTTTGTTCCTCCTTTTTTACTTTACGGTAATACGGATTTGTCAATGGTGTGTAGAAATTCATTTTTTATTCAGCATTAATTCCGATATTTTTTGGTGATTTTCAACAAACAAGTCCGTTTTCAGTTCAAGGGGTTTGGAGAGTATGTTACCGAATCTTCTAGGTCAATGATTTCCTGGTTAGTTACTATTTTTAGAGAGATTCGATAGGTTGTTATTCCTTAATTAATGGATGAATTTTTCATATATAGAAGGGGTTGTACACAAATTATTTTCGAGTGTGGAATAATAGTTATTTCCCTCAACATGAACACTGAAAACTGAAAATACAAGAATAAGCATAATGTTTGATCTATTTCCGATGGGTTCTTGAGATAATGGAACGTGGAATTGACATACCTCAATTCGCCAATCTCCTATTTGGTCGTAATTTCTCAATCTTTTCAACACAACACCTGAAGTAAATCAAACAATCAAAAGAAACTCCTATTAACAGTAAATTCGAGAGAACTGTTAAAAAATATAGAAGAAGAGTAAAATCGAGCTACGATTCGTATTTTAGAAGATGACCTTTGGAACTCTTCTCCACAAAGGAAATACAACGACGAAGTTAGGGTTGATGACTCAAAACGTACTGACAACTTCTTGGAAAAAAAACTGGTTCTGTAACCCGAAGTGCTTACACTTTTCTTCTTGTTTATTGCTAACCTAAGGTAAATGGCAGAAATCAAAGTCAATAAGTGTATATGAGAAGATAACTTTGGACGACTGAAATATCACTCTCCCAGTCATCAATTGTGGCATGAGTTAAATATCTATATTACCCCGTTTTGTCTTTGCCTGGGGACCTCAATTTGTGAATTACTAATACAATATGATAGAAGGATAAAATGGAAAAATGAAAATACTTCACAAATGAATAGTAAATAAATGGCATATTCATTCTTAGAGAGGAGGAAAAAAAATAAAAATGCGAGGTGATCTCTCCGTGCTGGACACTATATATTATTATATTTTTTTTAAATGCTGCAATGGTAGTTTATATATATTAAATTTTTTTATGTCATAAATATATTTTTTATAGATGTTACGTAAAGAAATGGAGAAAAGTAAGAAAAATAAAATAACAATTTATAACCCATATAAATTATAAAGTGATAATAATTTTATTAGGAATTTCTACGTCCAAAAAGAAAAATAATTGATGTAATACACATATTTTTTTTTAAGAAAATGATGTAAATTATATTGAGAAAATTATCCCGAAAAAATAATAACATTAATAAAATAATTGATTTTTTAATACACATGTTTAATGTACGTTTAACTATTTTCTATATTCATTTAGATTATTCGATGTGTTTATGATATAATTCTCGAAATGAGTTTTGAGAGAATATAGAAGATTTATGGTAGATTTTTATAAAAAAACTAAATAAATCACACGGTGAAAAGAAAAAAGAAAAAAATTGACACAAAAAAGATATCAATCACCCAATAAAAAATAATAATAATAATAATTGACACTGAGCATCGTTTAAAAAAAAAAAAAACAAACGTATTGTTGCACGGAGCATTGTGCCGCAATAGTTTTTTTACAAATCTATTTTACCCTTATAACATGACATGGAGTATGTTGAATCATGTGTATTGTTTATTTCTTAAAAGCTATTGCGATAAATCAAAGTAAAACTTAACACAATATTGAAAAAAATTTAATACTTAGTCGAAAAGATATCGATTAATTTATTTGACGATATTGAATATTGTAGATGTATATAAATTTCAGGGGATTAAATTCAAATATATCAAAATTGGGTGATTAAATAAAAATTTCAACCCCGTTTAAGTGACAAAATATTATACTGTGGCTCAGCTTGTGTTTGATTCCATTGATTTTTTTTTTCATTTTTCTCTCTTTTATTTTCAATCGCAGAATCTTACATAAAATAATATTACATGTAAATAAAAAACTCTTCATTAAATCGATTGGATATTGAACAATAAAAAACGATTCGATTAATTACACGATTTAATTATATTGAATATAGTTATCATCAAATACATCCTTTATATCTAAAATAACCACCCAGATTAAAATAATGTTTAATATATAAATTATGAGCTCCAATAATTTGGGTTTTTAATCCATGCATCAAGGGGACATTTATCCTATCCCCAAAAAATACATTTCAATTATAGCAACACAAAATTGAGGCCAACTAATTTTTCATCTTAATTATTCTAACATCTGAAAAAAATTTATATATAAAAGAAATTCGATCATTTTTAAGAATTTTTTTCTTATTGTTACTTTGATCAATAATTTTTTAAATAATCTAATAAAATTTCTAACGTTATTTATAAAATTTCCTAATAAACTTTTAAATTTTTTTAATGTCAAAAGAGACATCATTTAAAAAATTAAGAATTTCGATAACAAGTTAATTTTAAATATTCATCGATAATTGTAAGGTAGTCGAATACATAAATCTTCTATATTATCTCGAAACTCATTTCGAGAACTATATCATAGACATATTGAATGATTTAAATGAATATCGAAAATAGTTAAACGCATATCAAATGTGTGTTAAAAAATGCCTATAACTCATTTTTTTTCTTAAAAAAAATTAATTATTTTATTAATGTTTATTATTTTTTGTCGACAATTTTTTCAATATAATTTACATCATTTTCTTAAAATATATATAGGGGCGGACCCACAGTGGGTCCTAGTGGATCACATGAGCCCCCAACTTTCAAATATATATTTTTTTAACCTAGTCCAATCAGGCATTAATTTATGAAAACCGACAGTGATCAACAATAGGGATTGAATTGTTGGGGATTGACTTAATTCTTTTATTCTAAAAAAAGGGTAAAAGGGGAGAAAAAGAGGAATCTTGGGCTGTTGTTGAGTGCTGATTAATGGGGTTGTCGGGCATATTGTGGCTGGTGATTATGTTTGGATTTACGGAGATTTGGAAAGCTCAGAGGAAGTCTTTTCTGATAAGTTGTGGGACAAATTCCAATGTAATTGTTGATGGGTGGAGAGGAATTGTTGACACAGTTCTCTTATTCTTGAACAGGTTTGAATTTGTCTTGGGTTTTTGTCTAATCCTCCTTTATATAAAAATGGAGCAGCTTGAGAGATTGTCGAAGCATCAAGAAGAGTCAGACTTGGAATCAAAAGCAGATGTTAATCTTCTTGTCAGAGAGATTAAATTACTTCAAAGTTTTCAATTAGAATTGAAGCAAGAGGTTAGCAGATTAGCCAAAGAGAGAACCAAACATAAGGTACATTCTATTTTGTTATTATTGAATACTTGCACTCGGAGGTATGGAGATTGGTTCTAGAACCATCCTAATTCTAAATAATAGTTCTAGGACCAAACTAATTCTGTGCTTTGTAGATTAGGAAAATACAGAATAATTTACAAATGAAAAACATTGAGGAAATATTACATGTTGGGTTTCAACGGTATTGATTTTTCCAGTGGTTCAGTGGTAAATGTAGATAAAGTAGAAGATTAAATTGATAACTCGATCAACTCTTCTTATATGTTAGATAAATTATATGGGCCGACCTTACAAGTATATTTCGATTTGGCTAAAATACAAGCCACCACACAGCATAAGTAGCATGTTTAGGTTGAATTTGAACTTATAAGCCTACCCAAACATACTCTAAATAATATTCTCTTTTTGAATTTAAAAAACAATGATATTTCGGTACAATTACTTAAAAATATTCCATTTTAGTATTATCTTTATTTGTTCAGATCCAGCGGGGTTCCCAATTAGTATCATCATACGGCTGCTGTGGGATTAGGGTTTCGTGATACTGCAACATTTCTCCTGGAATGAATTCTGCAAAATCGGCAATTTCATAGGATTTCATATTCGAGATTTGTGCTTGAGCCTTTGCCAACTCTGTTTCGAGCTCAATCACTTGCTTCTGAAGTTGACAAATGACGCCGGTACAGCCGTAAACTGGATCTCTCAATCTTGCATTGGCTTCATAAACCATGCTGTCAACAGCATCTGCTCTTTGATTTTCAGGAACTCCCTGAAATATGAATTATCTATTTGTGTCACCACCAGCATATCTGGCTAAGCTTGGAAGGTTTCCTTTTAAGTTAATTTACTTATGAGTTAAAAAAAAAAAAAAAGAAGAAGAAAAAAGACCTCATTGCAAGTTAGAAATAAGTAAATAACTTATTTTGAATGCAAAGTAGGAGTTTCTGTCGAAAATGTAACTATATTTACTTTAAAAAAAAAAAAAAAAACACTACTTATCCAACATGTTTGAGATGAAAAATTACTTAACAGTAACTTTAATTTTTTTAGGTTTAGCCAAACTTGCTCTTTACATGTCTATGACCACATATGTGAGATCACGTAGAGGATAGTTCATGGCATTTAATGATTTCAACCCTTTATGTTGGGAGAATAGTTGAAGACGATGTGGCTTATCTCCAACAATTGAAACTTTTAATGAGATGGTTTAGTTTAAGTTCAAAACACAATTAAAAAATAGTAAGAAATTATTTTTATGATTAGTTCCTAATGTAGGATGATCAAATTAACACTATAAAGCCACTTAAGTTATTCAAACACAAACGATACTAAATCAAAGCAATCAAAAGTGAAAATAAGGGGCCACAAAAACGGAAACGAAAAGGAGAACGGAAATGAAGAAAACATAAAAGGAATCTCATGCACATACATACGTATACGTATACTCATCTTCTTCTAGCTCTGCCGCTCTGGTCTAGGGTTACTCACTTTCATACTAATTTATTTATAGTTTTCCCTAAGCAAGAAAATCACAAGTGAAGAAGCACTTGCATTCTTGTAATTGTATACATTTGGACAATTTTTTTTTGGAATTAATTAAGCTTTAATCTGGGGGTCTGAGAGGAAAACTGGGTTGGTCGAGAACTTTGGAAGAAATTCAAGATGAATTTTTCTTGATTCCATGCATACTCTCTTTTATCTCTCTCGATGAGCTTCACCTTAATTTGCTTATCTCTCCTACTTCTTTTCTTGAATTATCTCCTTTAGAATTACTTAGAATACCAAACCTCCCTTTTTGTTAACAGAATTTATTTTATACAGAGAAAAAGTGATTTCAAACAAATTAAACAAGATTTCATGCATTTTCAGCGTGCATTAAATAATTATAACCTGCAATAACTTGATGATGTTGCTAGCCCCAAATACTCTGTGAGCCATGGCGAACTTCATTGGTTCACCCGGCGGAAAATAAGGCGCTAACACACATTTTTCAATGCATCTTCGCCGTAGGATTTTGCATGCAGCACAAGGACTGGTAATGACTTGTTGTGGAGGAGCGGAAGTTGTCGTGGCGGCAGCGGTGGTTCCCACGTATTCCATATTGTTGTTGAGGAGTGAAGGGTGGTAAAGTTGTTTTGGTGTTAAGTTGGTACGTTACACTTGCCAATGGAAAAAAAAATAAACAGGTATTTATAGTAGAATAATGCCGTTTTGACTGAAGAAAACTGACAAAAGCAGTGCTAGAATCCTAGGTGACGTGAAGTGATTTGATGGAAAATGTTATAATGTTTTAAACAATTCAATGATAAAGTGTCATATGATATTATGTCAAGTATTATGACACTTAAGTATGATTGTTTATACTATGGGCTAGATCGAAAGATGGATTAGTGAACGTCAAATCCCATTCACAATGAATACTTATTTATATAATATAACTAACTTTCCATGGAGGTAGCCAAGTCGAAGTCACACATACTGATTCCGGCTTGAAAATTGAAAGGGTTGTGAAGCATGTTAATTGAATGCTTATTTGACACGTATCTAATTATTCTGATTAAGAACATGGATATAGCTTGACAATGAAGTCAAAGTTTCATTTGTCAAAACTAGCTGGCATGCTTCACGATGCGTACATGCCACCGACCTATGATCAGTAAAGAATTTCAGTTTCAACCATAAATACCTTTTTCTCTTAAAATGTCTCCAAACTGTTAAGAGAGAAGCTTCACATTAGATAAATATTAAAAAACAAAAAATGCCTTAACTTCAATAATCCTAAAATATATTTTTCTCTCTTTTATTTTTAATAACATATTCTATAATAAAATAATAATACATGTAAATCTAAAAGTATTCATTATTTATTAAACACACATTCTCTATAAAATACTACTTCAAAACTCTTCTCGGACTCAAACAATGGCTTAATGTGTTTGGCATTGATTTCTCTAATTATTTATAATTATATTGGTACAATTTTTTAAAAACTCATTTTCAATCATACATGTTCTGAGTAAATTAATTTTGCTCATGAACTCATAATTTTTCTCAACTTTAAAACCCAAATAATAAGAGGAGGAGGAGTAATAATAATAATAATAATAATAATAATAATAATAATAATAATAATAATAATAATAATAATAATTTTTCACAAAACTTATCCTGTAAAAATCTATATCAAACATATTCTTAATATCATGAGTTTCATGATAAATAGCCAAGTTTAGGAGTCTTTTTCCAATTTGTTCGTTTATAAAATGCCCTTACATGTCTGTTTGAATTATAGGAAGATATAAGTGACTGATAATTAGTAATTAATACTTGTGAAATTCATAAAATATATGAAAAAGGGTGATTAGGTCGATTACACTCTTGCCAATACTCTTTGCTCCAAACTCGTCCTTGCTCAGCTCCGACCTTGACTAAAGCTAATCTCCGTCCTAGCTCCAACCGCTGTCCTAAACCTGGAAGCTAGTTTGAGTCCCCTTCACTTGATCGTGCCCCCATGCCCTCGTCCCACTAGTTTTTTTCTTTCAATGACTAACAAATGTATAATCTTTCAGCAAGATTTTAGCAATTTAACAATAAAATTAATCGATCCATTGTGGACAAATAAAAACATTAATAATGGACCAACTTACTGTATGTGAAAATTGTAATAATCTCATAACCATGGAAAATGCCCGGTGTACATGGAATTTATTCACAAATGTTCTACAAGACAGTCACATGTGGATATTTTATGAGAGTGGACCCCACTGTTGTGAGTATTCTATAAAATATCTGTAAAAATTCTCTTGTAAGTGTAGCACCATTCCATAACCATTAACTCCACGTATATACATAGAAACATATTTTTTGTGGGCAACGTTGTCGTCGATCTTTTATTTTTTTTGGCTTGATCTCCAACCGTAAATTCGTCCAAAAAAAATCTATTAAATAATTTTACCTCAAATTTGTTAAATGGTCAAACCAAATCTAGCGCGATGGAAAAAAACAGTATTTCACTTTACTACAGTAGTACTCCTGAGTTTTTATTCACGTGCACTCCACATATTAAGATCAAAACAAAATTTTCCAACTATATATATATATATATATATATATATATAAGCTTGAATACCAATTTTGAGGGCTCCCATCGCCCCTCTCTTAAAGTATCGTGAGGGAGGTACATTGCGGGATGCATTCTAGCGAGCCGGGGAATAAGAGCTTGTCCGTATACTGGTGCCTACAAAGAATCAAATTTCATATGTTAGGAATAAAACCCTGACACTTCAGCCATCAGTAAGGTTGAAACTACCTCACTCCTATCATTTGCACCACTGAATTATACCTCGGAAGGCTGACACGCGCGATTTTTAGTTATTATATGTAAACAGGACTGTACTAGGTGTACAGAAAGGATTCTCACAGAATCCATACAGAATACACACAAATTGGTGAGTTCCAGATTTTTTGACAATATTTAATTTACATGAGTTCCATAATTTATGTGAGAATCTGTACAACTTCTATGATAGTTTTTCTATACATATGCTTTTTCCCATGTAAACACGTTTTGTCATCACTTATTTTTCGTTTAGTACGAGGAGTTCTAATATTTTCAAATGCCGCGTCCACACTGTCATCTTACCTATTTGTCTTTATTCTTTTTGACCAAGTCTATGATGTGTGACACTTCTCTTTTTCTTCTTCATTTGCCAATTATCATGTTCAGATACAATAAAGTTGACAACGCTAGAACATATGATTTAAATTATCAAAGATTGCACTAGTGATTTGGGGTGAACAAAATGATCGAATCAAACTAAATTGAACGGTTCGATTTGATTCTACAAAAAAATTAATGGTTCTGCTTCTTAGAACTGAGAACCATTTGATTTTGGTTTTGGTTCTGATTCGATACATATACCAACTCTCACATGAGAACCAACAACTACTGCCTATGATTTGGCGTTGCACTTAGTATCACAGGGACGAAGTTTGTTTAATTTAATAGGCTGATTCTTAGTCACTACTGTTGCATGAATTTTTGAAATTGAAATCTCAACTGTCGATTCTTATTCCTCAAACGTTCTCTCTCTCTCTCTCTCTCTCTCTCAATCAATAATGGAACTATAACCAAACTAAATCAAACCAGAATTGAATTGTTTGATTCTATTTTGGTTCCATATCTTAAAAAAAAAAAATCATTTGATTCCATTATAAAAAAATCATTAATTCATGATTCAATTTGATTTTTTTGAACCAAAACCAAAATGAAACCACGTCATCCCTACTAATGATATCATCATATATAGGTTGTCAAGCATCTTATTCATAAGTGTCTCTATGTGCCAATTGTTTCGAGCTTGCCAATTTAAGAAGGAAAAAAACTGTCTCGGGGCACAAAATCTCAGGGGCCAAACTTACAAGTTGCAACCCATGATAACAAGGCCCGTTTTACTTCTTATAGAAAAACTTTATAAGAAGCTATCTTAATTTTTGAAAATTAACTTTTAAAAAAGCTTTCTCCTTCGGAATAACTTTTCGAGAAAGCCACATTAACTATCTTATTCTAAAAGTTATTCTAACTAAAATAAATACTTCTATAAAATTATTCAAGCAGTCTAAAAGTAGTTTTTGAATTTATATGTAAATATTACTTCTTTATATTATCATCCCATGACGTATAATGATTAAAAAGAAATTATTGTTTATAGAATAGTACTCAATTACATAGAACTAAATCATTACTTGATAGCACTGGATAAAAGTTTTAAGTCGTTAAAATATATTCATACATAGTTGTATTTGAAAATGTCCGTCAAATATAAAGTCAATTATTTTTTCATTACCGATCCATTAAGTCTCATAATGAGGTTGTGATTGAAGAATTGAAAAATGTGTACTCAATATCATGTTAAATTAACTTATCAAGAAAATTTAAATCATTGAAAACATAAGAAATTTAGCCCCCGCCCGATCACGCTTCTTTGTGATTTTTAGCTTATTTTCGACCGTTATACATTGAAACAAGGAAGCTGCCGCAATTGTTGAATAAGGACGCAACTGCAATTGTTGAAAAAAGGCAACTTTCATAACTTTTCACAGAATTAAATACCGAAAATGCCCCATCAAGATGATGAAGAAAAGCTAAAGAGGGCATTTTCGTAATTCAAAGATGAAAAAATTATGACAGCTTCATTGTTGTTCAACAATTGTGGCAGCTTCCTTGATTTTACAATGAATTAATTTACTCATACAATTGTTGTTGACAATAATGGATGACAACATTGATGTCGTTAAAATTTGATCCATTAATTTTAAAACCAGTTTTTAAAATGGATGAATGTGATTATTATGCCAAGAAACCAAAAATACACAAAGTATACAAGATTTCACTGTGACATGTTACAGACCCAAATCGAACATTTGACACAAGATTTCATCGACTCTTCGGCTCAGAAAATTCATTGTACCCATCTGTACATTTGTAAAACACCCAAGAAAACCCCAAGAGCCACAAAGGAAAAATCGGGCACACTTTGACAGGATCGAACAGAAAACTCCAAAACATATATCAACCCTTTCCCTTCTCAAAGAATCACTTAGATTCACTCAATCACACAGAAAGAATAGCACTAAATCACAGAAGACTTCAAGAGAAACATGAAGAAGATGAAAGAGAAAGCCACCAGAAAGTTTGGGTTCTAGAGAGTTCAAGAGACGGAAGAAAAATGAATCGAGCAGCTAGGGCAACCCATAAGGTACATATATATAAAAGCACATCAACCGTTGATATAATCTAAAGGATCTAACGTCCCTGGAGCAGCACAAGTGGCCTACAGTTGGACTCGGGTTAACTATCTAGTTATTTGATTACTATATTTTTTCACCAATGTCGAGGTATTTAACTATCTAGTTATTTGACTAACCACCTTGAAAAGATAACATCAATAAACTAAAACAACAGTATAATCACAAGAAATGTATGCTATTTACCTTTCAACAACAAAATAAAAAATAAAAAATCAAACATCATTAAAAATTCAAAATCAAAATTCACCAACTTGAATGGCTGAAAACATGGGCTTTTTTCCAACCCTAGC